CCTTCAAAAATGGTGCTTTTAATTTGATATAGACTTTCAACATTTAATTAACTGGATACTTTGTGTGCTGTTATTACTGCTTTTAGATAGTTTTTATTTATTTATTTTTATTATTTGAACAAAAATACTCCTTAAACTGTATCTACATGCTGTATGATTTTTAAATATGTTAATCAAATAATTGAAAATTCAGAAACATTTTAATTGCAAGAATATTAAGAAAATATGCCAAACTTTTTAATCCAGTTTCATGGAAAGAAAAAAGAAAAACCCACAAAGAAGCAGGAGTGAAGAAGTTTAACAGATGCTGCTTTGTTTTCCCATGATCCCACTCTTGCAGGCCATATCTTCTCTTACATTCAGTCTGTCTCCTCATCTTCTCCTGCTCTGCTGTGGTGTCTCCACCAGTTTGATGGCTCTCAGGTGCCCAACTCCTGCTCTCACATCCGCCCACACAAACACACCCACCCACTGCTTTCATTTTTATTCTGCAGCCTTCCTTTGCCCTGCATTTACACATTTATACACGAGCTTCTGTTTGCTTGCATATGCACCATGTGCTACCACCTATCTGTTAAAAAATAAAAAATAAAAAAACTGGTTGTTTGTTACACCACCAGCACACACGCTCACACACACACACACACACACACACATTGCCCAGTCAGCGTTTGTGAGTGTGTGGTCTTAGCTGGGTGTCCTGGCGCCTGGTAGGTACTGCTAATGAATCTGCATGAAAAGCTTACAGACTGACATTGGCCTCTGGAGAGCTCAGATGGTGTTACGGAAATGTATTTATCTTCACACACTCTTCATAAACACACTGAATTATAAAGAGGAAGGAAAGAAAGATCCGAGAACCAGGTCTGACCACATATGTCCAGAAAAGTGCTACGCTGCAGGTGTAAGAAAACTTGCAAAGAAACTAAAATTTGTCCAAATATTCTATTTATCTCACTATGCGCTCCGTCAAAGACATGCTGACTGTAATCTCATGTTTCGTTTCACACCTCGCACTTATCTGTCTGCTTCTTTTACTTAAAAGAAAAGATGAGGCAGAGTGAGCAGAAGCATCCCTCTTGTTCCTTTGTTGCCTCTGTGGCAGGCAGAGGTTGTTCAGCTGCTGGGCATGTGAGGAGATGCAGGGAAGAGTCTTAAGAAAAGCTGCAGAGTGAACACTTTGGTGGATGTTTAGTCAATGTTGATGTATGATCCATGGGACTCCTCAGAGAAACAACACAATTTTTAATACTGTCAGTCATTTCCCGTGGAGCTTTGGGCTGCAGGAGATTAAGAACAGGTTGGCATGAGGGAAACGTGGTGCACTTTAGTGCTGAGCTCCTCTGCTGTGAAATGTTGCTTCGGCCTGTTTTAATGCATTTCAGTCCTATGCGTCATGTAACTGCCGATGCATTCATTTAAATAATACACACATCTGCCAATTCGTGATCATGCACTTAATCAGTTTGTCATGGGGCTTTGTGAGAGCACAAGAAATATGTACGCGAGAATGAACTCTCTTCTTCAGCTGCTAATTCGTCCCTTTTCCCCCTCCTCCTCCTCCATCAATTTCTCCTTCTCCCCTGATCTGTAAGTGTTAGCTCTTTATTAAAGATTCATGTTTTAATTCTACCCTATATGAAGGTCCCAGGTCTGAATCAATAACTCCATGTCCTTGCTTTATGTTGGCTTTACCAGCTCCTACTTGACAATATCCCATCAAATGGCTTTTGTTATTGTCAGTGACCCAGATGCTCTTTGAGTCCAGAATAAAAAGATATGCATTTTTCAGCACTCATTCATATTTAAACAGACAGTTCTTCTTATTTTTCTTTAAGAAAGATGCCATATGTTGTTGCCAGACTGTTGTGGTTGCTAAAACATGCAACAGACATGTAAACACTCATATCTTCTGGGCTTTTCTTACTAACAAGTTCTGAATATCACAATGTCTCAAGCATCCATTTCCTTTCAGTAGATTAACTGAATGCTGCAGCTCATTAATTTCAAGATGTTACCTTTTATCACTTTCATAGATGCTAACAAAATATAAAACCTTCTTGAACTAGAGAAATTGCATTTCCTGCGAAAATGCAGTGTGAATGCTTATTGCAGAAGAACGTGCTGAAAAACAGCTGAAAATAGCTGAAAGAAATGTGCTTAAATGTAGCTAAAATGGATGAAAAAGCCTAAATTAGCAGAATAAAACAGAAAGAACACGTGTTTGCGTAATTAGGCTGAAAGAAGCAAAAATGAGCACAAAGAAAGTAGAAATTATTAGAAAAAGCTGAAATTAGCAAAAACAGTTGAAAAGTAACAAAGTCCATGCTCAATAATCCAGGTATAAAATCCAACTTTTTTCAGTCAGGTCATCTGGACAGTTTCTTTTTTTTGTGCTGAAACGTTTTGCTTTCGATCCGGAAGGCTTCATCAGTCAAGGAAACACACAACAAAACTGATTCTTCCTCCAACAGCTTACTCCAAAGTGGAACAAACCAGTTCTGCTTGTGATTAGATGGTCTCTTTGGTATGCCCCATCTCCATTGCTGGCCCTCTTCCTTTCAGCACAAAAAAATAAACTGTCCAGATGACTTGACTGAAAAATGTCAGTTGAAAAGTAGTTAAAAAGGCAGAAACAAGCAAAGAAGGTGGATAGAGCACATTTTTTTGCTGAATTAGGCTGAAATAAGTTGAAATAAGTGCAAAAAATGGGAAATTATCCGAAAAATCTAAAATTAGTGTAAAACAGCTAAATATTAGCTGACATAACTGAAACTAGCAGAAATAAGCTGAAATGAGAATAAAAAGGTTGAAATTAGTAGAAATAAGTTAATTAGGCAGAAAGTAGCAAAGATTACCATAAAAAACTTGAATTTATCTGAAAACAGCTTAAATTAGCTAAAAATGTAGCTGAAAATGTACAAAGTAGAACAAGCTTAAATTAGCATAAAAAAGCAGCAATAACACATTTGCAAAATTAGACTGAACTAAGCAGAAATGAGTGCAATTGGAAATTATCTGAAAAAAGCTGAAATTAGTAAAATTTTGCTAGAAAGTAGCTAAAAATGCAGAAAGAAGTATAAATTACCACAAGGAAGTGAGAGAGCACATTTTTGCTGAATTAGGCTGGAAAAAGTTTAAATGACTGCAATAAAAAACAAAGTGGAATTAGCTGAAAAAGCTTAAATTAGCATAAAAACATTAAATAGTAGCTGAAATAGTAGAAATGGCTGAAATAAGCCAAAAGGAGCATAAAAAGCTGAAATTAGAGAAAGAAGATGGAAGAAGTATAAAAATGTTATAGTTAGCACAAATAATCTGAAAGGAGCACAAAAATACTGGAAAAAAACAGCTGAAAGTAGCTGAATTAAGCTTAAATTACCATAAAAACAGCTATATAGTTGCTAAAATAGTAGCAAAAGCTGAAACTTTCAGAAATAAACTGAAAGGGGCATAACAAGCTGCAATTAGCAGAAAGAAGTTAGAAGAATCAAAACAATTTTGTAGTTAACAGAAATAATCTGAAAGGATTACAAAAATGCTGAAAAGACATCTGAAAGTAGCTGAAATGAACACAAGGAAGCTGAAAGAAGCTAAACCTGAACAAAATGTGAAAGGAGCAGTAAAAGGCTGTAAACAGATCTAAAGATTTGAAGGATGTAAAATGAGCTCAAGTCATTGTCTGAGAAATAAAAAATGGCAGAAAAGGCTAAATATTTAAAAAAAGCTAAACTAAGTTAAAAAAAAAAAACCTGACTGATGAAGCCTTCTGGATAGAAGGTGAAATGTTTCAGCAAAAAAAGAAACTGTCCAGATGACCTGACTGAAAATTGTTGAATTGTATACCTGGATTATTGAGCATGGACTTTTTTGATTTTGAACCAGTTTGACATGACTGTCAACGAGGAAGAGGGCCAGCACAAGAGGAGGGGGCGGGCCAAAGACACCATCTTAGCACCAACATAACTGGGTTGTTCCACTACGATTTGTTGAAATAGCTTAAAAATTGCAGGATGAGAATTGTGCAGAAAAACGTACGACAGAAAAATGAATCTCAATAGTGTGAATGCTTCATGAGCGTTCACATAATAAGGGGATTCATTCTGGCCAGTTTTAATAGTTCAGTGCAGGAAATCAAATTAATAACTAATCAATAATGCTGGGCAACCTTCTTGCTGAAACTGTAAACTTGAAAATCTATCCTTACTTTTAGCATCACAAAGGATATGTGTATTAAAACAATTAATAAATGTAGGAATCTAATTCCAAATACTGGCCTGTAGGTAATACTGCCATACTTAACCTATCACAGATGAAGAAGGGTTCTTTTGCTGTATTTATGAGATGGATAATAATAAACTTCACTGCACCTGTATGTAAATTGTTCTTTTTATTTTTCATAATTGGCTTGTTTTGTTTATGAGTAGAATATAAAACTTGTAAAAGGTGTATTTTTTCATTAATAAATTTTAACCAATGCTGCAAATTTTAGCCACACGTTGTCGAATAATTCAACAAACTTTTTTTCAGACAGTTTGTATTTTACTGTTCTCTGTGTGTGTTTGTGTTACTAAAGTTTTCACTACAAAACAAAACCCAATTTTTCTTCCTTCAACATGCATTGCGCCTTTATCATGTGCTTGGATGGAGTTTCTCTCTTTATTTCTTTATTTGCTCTCCTCATTTCTCCACCCTTTTCTCACCCATTCAGAGACTGTCTGTCATACTGTTCAGTTGGGGTGATGAAAGGTGATAATATAAGTTAGGTGGAAGATATCGAATTCTCTTTTCTCACGTCTTCCTCCCAGTACCCTCTCCCATGCAGTGCCTTCTTTGTCTCCTCTTTATCCTTCTTTCATTTTTGATCAATCGTTTTCTTTGTCTCAGTTTCTTTTGTATGAACTCTTCCCTCCCCCCAATTTTATCAGCATACCTCACAATCTACTAATTACTGATGAACACTAATTGTCTTGCTTGTTTTGTCTTTCTTTTTTCCTCAGATCCTGGTGCAGTGGTAGAGACTCACAGTGCAGTACCATATGCAGTGATAGGTGGCGTTCTGGCCCTTCTGGTTTTCACCGTCATCTGTGTCCTCATTGTCACCATCTGGTGCTCTGTTCGGCAGAAAGGTAATGGACAGATATACCCTTAAATCTTCTCACCAAAACAGAAACTCTCAAAAGCTCCTTTTACAAACAGAAAATCAATAGTTGACGTATCGTTCTCACTTTTGCCACAGGTATAGTTTTAATAATTACTTTTTTGGCATAGTTTCAGTCATATGTGGCTACTTACATCCAAATTCTCTGTAAACAATATTTTAAACTAAGGTGTAAAATTGTCAGCAAATAGCAAGGTTGGATAAGATGCTCCTTTCTGGCAAGGCGCTGTCTGTAATAAATGATCTTGGCCAGGCTGATCGAAGAGAAAGGGTGGGGTGGAAAAGGTGTGGTCTTAGTGTTTTATGACTTTGTTAGTGTATCAAGACTCAAAAGAGTCCTCCCCCGTTTCCTATCCTTTTAAGTGCTCTTCTTACTGGCAGTGTTGTGTGACATGCTGCAGCTGCCAATAAATGATCTGAGAATAGGGTAGCAGGCTGAAGCCAGGATAAGTCACCCTATGGCTGGACAAGCTGCCTGTCAACATCCGGCATGTCTTGACTGCGAATCAGCACAGGGACAGGACCATTACAGCCAATCAATGGTGAGACAGGGCCATTAGGGCTTTGTTTTTGGGCCATTGTGACTGTCAGCAAACCATTCAACCTCTGTGGTAAGAAGAATGAAGGTGTCACTCACTTCTAGACTGAAAATGACTCTCTGGGAGATGACTTAGGCAGTGCTTGTTTTATATAATATATACCACACAGATCCATTTACTATATGGATTCCAGGGTGGTTATGGTACGTTGGGCTTGTTTTCTGGGTGATGCAAACTTGAATTGTTCACTTGCACCTAACATTACCTCCACTCTTTTCTGCCTATTTCTCTTCCCTCCCCATCTTTTACTCTCTTCAATTCTCCCTTTTCTGTTACCTTCATCTCTTGTGACTTTTCTATTCACGCATCCATCTGCCATCTCTAATTTTCTGCCCTGTAGGCTCATACCGTACACGAGAGCCTATTCTTGCCTGGTATTGACCTAACAGTCAGTTAACTAATGGATTAATCAGTCATAGGTATGGAAGACTATGAAATTAGCGCTGATTGCTGTGACAATGCTGCATGGCGCTGCAATGATCATGACGCTTTGCCACCTAACCTCCCCCCTACGATCTCCCTCTTGTTTCTCTCCCCTCTTTCTCTCTCTCTCTCTCTCTCTCTCTCTGTTCTCTGCTCTCTTTCTCACTCTTTTCATCCAGGTTCCTATCTTACCCATGAAGCCAGCGGGTTGGATGAACATGGTGAAGTGCAGGAGGCCTTCCTAAATGGGAACGACGCCAGCCAGGGCAAGAAGGAGTACCTACTGTAGCCCTTTTCTTTCCCTAATCCCTTTTATTCTGACCTCGTACCCCTACCCTGTTCTCTCCTTATCTCCCAACTTGTATACAGTATACATACACACACAAACACTTCTATACAATGCGCCATAATAGGCGGCCTTCTGAAAGTGACTGTATACAGATTCTCCACACAACCAATCCATCACACGCCATTCCACTCCATATACTCCATACACACTCGCATAACCCAAGAGAGAGAGACAAAGCGCCTCGAGGCCCCGCAGACATTTACGACTGTGCCATATACAGTACTGTAAGTCGAAAACACTGGGGGGAAAGTAGAGGCAGTGTGAAAAAGCTGCAACAGAGTGAAGTGAATGTAGACAAAAGCAAAATGATGCCATAATTATTTTGATCGAGAAGGGAAGAGGGCAACACAATGAAAAGCGGCACTCTGCCTGTGCAGCCGCCAAAGTGGAAGGGGAATTAGAGGCAGATGACTGCTATAATTCCCCGCCTGGAGAATAGAAGAATCCATTTCACATAGCGCAATCTTTAACTGAAGGAGACAGTCAGAGCGCTGTGCGAGGAACGAGATGGGACTAAGAGGGAGAAAGCTGGACAGGAACTATTTAGCACTCAATGGTAAAACACTTAAATTTTTCCAATTGCCAAAAGGGCATTGTCTACAGAGCGCAACTCATATACAGGTGCGTCTCAAAATATTAGAATATTATGAAAAAGTTCAAATTTTTTTTTTGTCAATCATTTCAAAACAGATGTTACAAATAGAGTAACATTTTTCAAGTCTTTATTTCTTGTAATTTTGATGATTATGGCTTGCAAATAACAAAAAACCAAAATTCAGTGTTTCATAAAATTGGAATATTCCACAACCAGCTTTTGGTACCTTTGGCAGTGTGGGCAAGTCCTGCTGGAAAATTAAATCAGCATGTCCATAAAGCTCATCAGCAGAAGGAAGTATGAAGAGCTCTAAAATGTTCTGGTAGAAGCTGCGTGGACTGTGGACTTCAGAAAACACAGTGGACCAACACCAGCAGAGGACATGGACCCAAACCATCACTGACTGTGGAAACTTCACTCTGGATTTCAAGCAACATGGATTCTGGGCCTCTGCACTCTTCCTCCAGACTCTGGGATCTTGATTTAAAAATAACATGAAAATTTACTTTCATTTCTGTTCAGTGCCCTGAGATGACTTTTGTTGTGACTTGGTGCTATATCAATAACCTGAACTGAATTTACTTTCATCTGAAAAGAGGACATTGGACCACTGAGCAGCAGTCCATTTCTTTTGTTCTTCAGCAGGTAAGATGCTTCTGATGTTTCTGGTTCAGGAGTGGCTGGACTTAAGGACTGAGACATTTGTAGCTCACGTCTAGGACTTAATTAAATGATTAGTTTGTGACACCAGGAGTTTCTAATATTGAACCTCTTCATAATATTCCAATTTTCTGAAACACTGAATTTTCTGTTTTTCATTATTTGTAAGCCATAAGGATCAAAATGACAAAAAAATAAAGGCTTGAAATATTTCACTCTGTGTGTAATGAATTTATATGCGTTTCACTTTCTGAAATGACTGACAAAAAACATAGAACAATTTCATGATATTCTAAATGTTTGAGATGCACCTGTATAATTCCCAACAGTTTGTAAAACCAGAATCAAAGGAAGTATCTACAGTATACTTTAAGAACAAGCCAACTTTTCTGTTTGCTTTCTGTGTTGGGTAGTTTACCATTTATTTTATAAGGAAAACCAGGTTTAAGTGATGTTTTTTCTCTCTCACTACAAGAGTAAAGGAAAATATGGCTGTCTTCTATACGGCTGTCAACATCCATCATCCTCTCTTTACACCAGCCACCCCTCCACACACATCTTCTATTATTTTTTCCTCTGTCTCCTTCTATCATCACTCCTTATGTTGGCCCCTAGTAATGAAAGGATTAGCATTGGACTGTGTTCCTGAGGAAGACGAAAGGAATATGACTTCTTAAGACTTTAAAAAAGAAGCTTAATTATTTTTAGAATGTCATTAAGAGGATCAAAAGATTTAACAGTCCCCGATAAGAGGAGGAGGAGCAAACGGTGCCGATGAACGAACAAAATGGATGTTTTTTTTCTGAACATCACCACCCATATGAAGCTTCATGCACACATTCATACAGTAAACGCGTTGACAGAACATATATACATATCTCTGAATTCTTTGTATAAAAAAAGACCAGTGACATAAATTAAATTAAACTTTTACGAAAAAAAAAAAACTGTTTACTATTGAAACGCATTATGAAGCAACTATACTAACACAGAATATTAGCCTATAGAGGTGCAACGCCGAACAAACTACTGTCCAGTGATCTTTAAAGAAAATAAAAAAGGATAAAAAAAAATCATTTGTCTTTATGAGAAACCACAGGTCTTATTGTTTTGTTTTTTTTAATAATTATTGTTATTATTTGAACAATTCTGATTGTTGTTACTGTTATTATTATTGCCGTTGTTATTATTACAATTGTAAATGTTAAAGAACTGTACACTTCCCATGGTTCGTTTTTGGTTTTACTATAGAAAAATATGCTGTTAATTTTCACTCTTTTCCTCTTTGCTCTCTTTGCCAGTATTTCTCTCTTCGTCTACTGTGCCTAGTTGTCTCTTCTCCTGTCTTACACTTGTTTATTTTAGAGTCCATGTGTCACTGTTGATATATAGCTAACTATTTCTTTATAGGGGAAAGATACAAAGCACGACAAAATAAAAAAAAAAGAATCCAAAAAGAACTTGATCCGACTGTTATTTGTGTGTGAACTGTGTAATCAGTTACTGGTTTTGATGTTTTCCAAGTGAGCATTTGATTAAATCAATGGAGAATGGTCGAATTATAGGTGGGAAGACGGAGGTGATGGAGCCAGCTGAAACTGCCAGCTCATGCAAAATAAACAAAACGGAGCGTCGTGAAGTTAGGTTAATGAATCACACGAACAGATAGTGTGGAAGAAAGGGTGGCAGGAGGGTTAAGTCGGATGCACACAGAAAAATATGACTCTGCCATTACCTTCCACACAATCAATACCCGATTCTGTCGAGGAGCACTCAACATGTCTATCTGTGTGCAAGGCTAGATTTGAAAGCCGCTGGAGGTCACAAGGTGATAGATCGATGTGTTTCTCCTCCATCGATGGCGAAGCTCCGCAGTCGCCTGTCATAAAGACAGATTGTCAAACGGCAATCAAAGTAATGGACTCACCAAAGCACCACCAGCATGAGTTGACACTCCTGACAGCAAACAATTCAGTCGAAACTAGACATATCTGCAGTTTATGATGACGCAGAGGTGGCCCTGGTAGCTCCCGCTATCAGCCTCACTGTGGTCAGTGAGTAATAAAACTAAGAATATTGTCCTTTGAACGTCTTCAAACAGAAGAGAATGTCCTTCGAATTAAGACGTTCAAAGACTGTTTTTCTTGTGGGGTTGAGAAAACGCTTTTCTGTCTTTGGTTGGTTCTTTGTTTTGTCTTCTCACAAAAAAAAAAATAAAAAAAAAATATCTAATTTTTGTTTGACTTTTGGTTTTGCATTTGGTTTATATTTGGAAAAAAAAATTCACAACTGCCAAGATTTGATGGCCCCAGGGGTTCCCAAACTTTTCCGTGCCATGGCCCCTCAAACAGCATTGCTTCAGGCTGAGCCCCCCCAACTCACAAGCACTGTTACAAAATATGTAAAGAAATATCAACTTTTAGAATGTTTTAACTTTTATTCACTATATCCAATTAATTATTACAGCTGCTGAGCATAAAATGTTATTAACTAACATGTTTTAAACACTGTATTCTATTCCCACTGAAAACAACAACTTTTTAACAAACTGTTGACCAGAAGAACAAAACAAATGAAATCTAACCTTTCGCTCAAGCGATATTATCTGGAAATGACAGATACAGATGCCCCAGTGGACAATTTTTATTATTTTTGCTTTTTAAATTTCTTTTTAATCTTCTTCTCTCCAGCTTTCTGGGACCCCATAGCGCCCCCTGGCGGCCCCCCAGGGGGCCGCAGCCCCCACTTTGAGAAACACTGGGCTATAGTATAGAGTCAAAAATAAATTCAATTCAACTCACCAACTGAGGCTATGTGCATTTCAGTTTGAACTTAACTTCACTGTTGGCCCTCGTACTTATCGTTTGTCTTTTCCAAAAGTGTTTTAATAAATATAAGAGCATAATAATGATGCAATAAAGTACTTGTCCCAATAATTATTTGACTGCCACTGTAAGTGACAGCTAAATGCATAAACACAAAAAATGACTAATGGACAAATCAATGATAAGAAAAGCCAGAAAACAATATGTGTAGAATTTATGCCATCAAGTGACTATATTTTATCTGGACTATAATGACATAAAACAAATCTATGAATCACACTTTTTGTTTTTTATGTCCGTTTAAGCAATCAATACCTTGGAATGGGTTTACAGCTACTATTGTCCCTGTTATAAACCATTTATTACATCATGTTTCATTTCGACGAATTGCAGGAAGTATCTCTAAACTCTAGTGAAACCCAAACTATTTATTTATGGTGGATTTAACCGTTTTGTCCATCATTAAAGGCAACCTGAATGCAGCTTCTGTTCTTTGGTCTCATCAAAGATGTGTGCAGAGTGAAGGTGTAGCATGAGGCATTGATTGAGGTGGCGAGTGTGTGTGTTGATTTTGCATAATCAGACGGCAAAGTGCTTTCGGGCACAAATGAATGGAGAACTGCACGGCAAAAGCAAAGGAAATGTTTGGTCTATCTAGCTTTACCAGACTGCTCCATCAGTACTGAGTTCAACTCAGAAACTTTTGTACAGACTGAAACCGTACCGTCTATAGCTTTTAGCAAAATGAAAGAGAAATACAGAGTAAGAACAAGCTTGACAAGGGAGAAAATCATTTAATTATGGACACGAGCAGTAGGCTATACAGAGCTGAAAATAATTAGGTAATTATAAAAGCTGACATTTTAAAAACTTTGAGAGGGAAAGCAATCAATAATTGTGACAAACAGTAGAGTGGAGGGAAAAAAAGACGTCGACTTTCATGTCCATGTTCTATGCAGAAAGAAATGTATCCCCCCCCCCATCAGTGACTTCTTAACACCAGCATAGTACAAGATGAAGAATCCAATTATTGTGAGCAAGACTCTTCTTTTTATTTCAACAAAGCTTCACGTTGTATTCACACATAAAATCAAAACAGCCATGAGTATATGTGTCATAACCAGGTTAATTACACTCGCACTACAATTGCAGATTCTATCTTGACCACTGTTATTAGAGAATAACTAAACGCTGTAACACATACACACATATGTACAGTATATATACACGAACATTGATGATGGTTAGCTTAGCTGAGATTTAAAACGGCTCAACATAGACCCATAGGAAGCAGTCAAAGAAAGCAGACATCTGTGATCAGGATAGCACTTATCATCTTGAGACTTAATTTTCCCACTGACATTTGGTGGGGGACCTAATAATTAACTGGCCTTTTCGTTTGCGAGTAAGATGTAATGTGTGCAGGCATGGTGTTGCTGATAGAAATCCAATAACAAACAGTAATGCTTCTAAAATTAAATGGTCAACAAGTTGCTTGTATTGCACATATACATAGAGACATGGAGACAGTGTTGTCTTAAGATTATCTTCTTGCTCTGAGCTTAAAAAAAAAGTGTGAATGCAGAGCTTTTACTTTACAAAAAAAAAGAAAGGTTTAGACCTCTGGGCACACTTTGGCTTTAAGAGAGTGTTTGGCTGAAGACCACGGAGCTGACTGAACTACCTCACGCAGTGCCATGCGGACAGATTTTCCTTTGGAAAGGACTACTGCTGCTGTAAGGTTGGGAACAGCAAGAGGGAGGGATACCTGCTCCTCTCCTGCTCGTTTCCTTGGAGGGGTGAAGAGGATAGGCGGTACGAGACTGTACAGCTGAAAGAAGAACAAGGCAACTGCACAGGTCCAAGGAGGCAGATGAGTATCAGGAGTGAAAAGCAAGAGGGCCTCAATAACGTAGAGAGGCAGGCAAAGCAGAACTAAAAGACAAATGGAAAAGGCTATGAAATGGACCAGATGGGACTTGTGCTTTTTTGTTTCATCGTGATTAATAAGGGCCTTTTTTAACTTTGTGCATAACAGGGCAAAGTAAATTGCCATTAAGAAAAGTAAGGGCAGGATAAAAATTGTAATCCCATGGACATAAACTACAAACTGAGGACTGAGAACAGTGTCTGGTGCACACACGCCCCAGTGGCTGCTGTGAATCTCAGCATAAGTGAAGTTGTGTTTGTCCTCTACATAAAATTTTGACAAGAAGCCACCGTACGGTAGGTACTTTGCAATGACCTTACGGTCCTTGTGGTATTTTGGGAGCGGTGTTGTGGTGTGATGGGGCAAAGCGGTTGTCCAGTTGCCATCCAACCCGTGGTCATCTGTGCCTGGATCAGTCCTGCCATTTGTCCAGGTGTGAAGGATGTCTGTGCCTATGAACTGGGCAAAGGAGGACAGGACTGACCCCACCCAACACAACAAGACCGCACACAAAGCTCTCCGACGGGTCACCACCAAAGAGTATCTGTCAGGCAAAAAAAAATAAAACAATTCAGACTTAATATAGGCACTGCTCTTCAGTGTGAGCTAAAAAGAAATATATATTTTTTTAAACTAGAAAGTTCCTTGAGAAACTTTGATGGGGACTGCCAGGCTGCTGCCGATTTAAATTGTTGATTTGACAGTAATATGTGCTCGGGTTCGCTCTCAGCTACCACTGTACCACATTTCAGCTGGATAGCTCTAAAAATGGCAGAGTTATTGTATTTTTCTGTTTTGGCTAAGGCAGCCATCTTGGACTTCTGATTCGGATTCAGTACGTGATAGGGGATGTTCTCAGCTGTAACCTCACCAAATTTCAGTTCTGTATGTGTCAAAATGGCAGAGTTAAAGCCATTTAAATGTCGCATTTGTGGCCATCTTAGATTTTTGATTTTGATACAGCATTTGATAGGAAACATTCTCAGCTATTACCACACCAAGTTTCAGCTCAATATCACTAAAATTGTCCGATTTATTGTATTTTTCCTTTTTTTTTTGCTTAGGTTGCCATCTTGGATATTTGATTTTCATTAGGAATATATTACAACTCTCTCTGAGATACAACCATCCTTTATTTCAGCTCAATATCTCAAAGAATGACCGAGTTATAGTCAAGTTTGTGTTTGCTGAGGTAGCTGTGGCAGACATCTTGAATCAAAATGGCTCCAAACGTTAATCAGTTCTAGACATTTATGTGATGGTTACTTTCTGTGAGTTTCAAAGATATCCAACAGTGAGTTTCTGTTTTCTTCAGGGACATCTACTGTAAGCCATGTGTCAACAGTAGTTGGTGCTCGAGCGTTCTCCCATTCTTTTCCTATAGGGAAATATGGTGTATTTGTTAGCAAAATATGTTGCCATGGTAACTCCAATTGCCAATAAAAGTAAGAGCTCCCTTCTCGAGATTGAGCCGGTCGTTTTGATATAGCTTTTGTGCGTGTGCACGTTCGGGCCTCATTGAGGGAGACGGAAGATAAATAAATAAATAAATAAACGCTTATTAGGTGTAGAGTGCATTAATGCACTGCTCTCCTATGCATTGCATTGGCAGTCTCCATTTATTAAATGTTAAAAATGGTGATATTTTTCATTACCACCACAGATGCAATATGGCTCAAGAATTAATTTAACTCATATTTGACATTTCTGCTACATCCTGATCATTTTTAAATGAACTCTGGTGCGTTTTACAATAAAAATAATAATAATAATAATAATAATAATAATAATGATGAATGTAATTTGTAACGCACTTTCCATTAACAAAAATCTCATGGTGCTACAAAGTGCAACTAAAATCAATGATAAAATCACAATGTGAGTAAAATACAAGAAAAAATATTTTACTGCAGCTATTAAGCAGTTTTAAATTCTTATTGCATGATAAGGTTTGAATAAATCAAAGGCGAGTTTAGGTCAGAGTTCTCAGAGTTGCTTTCATATGAAGCCAATGTTTCACCTGAGAGTCAAAAATTCTCAACGGCAAACTATTTTATTGCTTTTGTCAAACTCTTCTAAACCTGAGGACCTTTTAAACAAAAAGCCAAATTTGTCCAAATTATGCTTTTCAACAGCTAGCTCCTCTATTGCTGGCTTTTGCTTTTATTTCCTTTGGATCAAGTCTGTTAAATATTAAATAAAAGAAACCCACAAATTTAAAATTATAGTCAGAAATTGACAATGGATAATAAAACACTTTTGGGAGCTCTGAACAAACAGTTTTCCTATAGAAAACATCCCATACAGTGGTACATTTTAATAAGTTATTTATTTCATCTTCACTCACTGATTTTCTTTATAACTTCCTGAAAGCATCCCTAAGGGTGCTGGTTGTCTTGCAGCTCATATATCCACCTTTTCCCACAAATGTGTAGGGAAGTTTTCAGGCTCCACTTGCACTTTGAAGTTTTTCTTTCATTTTGAAGTATTATTTTCATGACGGCATCATTTGTAAATATCTGAACCCTTTTAATGGCCAACACATACTGTTAAAACGAGATTTTCATTTCTCGCCCATTTCCGCTGAGCCAAGCAGTTTCTACTCACCTGTCTGCCAAATTGTGCTGAAGGTGGACGTCCAGCGTCAGCAGCATTAACAAGAACATGGTAAACTGCCGGATCAGCAAGGGGCAGCACACGAGGGTTATGCAGGTGTACAGACACTGGGGTGTTCGTAGGTTGAGTAGCACGGTCACAGGGACCCCTAAAGCCCCACCTACAGCCCCCACGTAGCCCAGGCACAGTCGAAGGCAGCACGAGACGCTCCCAAGTTGACCTCTGGCCGCCTGCGTCCCTTCAGTTCTGGTGCTGACCGCCATGCACAGCCTCACGCTGAAGACGATCACAGAGACCGATAGAGTGCACTGGCACAAGGTGTACAGCCAGATGAACTCCATATCTGTGGTCAACAATGAAAAAGGCACCAAAAGATAGTCAAACAATACAGTTTAAAAACATCTGAAAATAAAGGGCACATCAATACTTTTGCAAACACGGCTTGGCTCGATCCCATTCTGCTTCCAGTGCCTGCGTTTCCACGGGGGTCTTTCACAAAGAGGGCCCGTGCTGCATACAGTTTTTCAAAAGAACGTTCAAACATTGACAGAAAGCCGAAGAAGAAAGGAAATATAAATGAGACAAGAGTGACAAAAGGATGAGAAAATTTTGAAGCTAAGCACAGGCGTGCAGGGTAGAATACTTAGAACGTTAAGCATGAATAAGAGAAAGTGGACTGAGAGTGTGATGCAAGTTTGTGCTCGCAGCAGAGGAGAGGGCATGGGGTGAGTAGATTTTCTTTTTTGATAGGTATTGGAGAGCTGAAAACGTGCCTGGAGAGTGAAAAGGTCAGGCCAGACCAGACTTGACATAAGCTCCCTGCTGAGGATGTGAGCATCATGCAAACACAGAACAACACACAGCGAGCGGGCGGCAGCGCACTGTTAACACTCTCATCTGTTTTCTTTCTTCTTTGACTTTGTTTCACCTGTCCCCTCACTGTGGCCCGTCATGCGTCATTCACTCCTCTCTCCGACACAAATAGACCCGGACATTTGTGCGTAAATACTCTAACACTCGATTCACGCTCCCCTGATGGGTGATTTTCAGCATTCAGGAATGATTGGCAGCTAATTTTAGAGCATTTTCAAACAATGGTTTCTCATGAAGCAGAGTGGATGATTATTAAAATAACAGCCGCAGTGTGGCACCTGTCCATTTCATGTAATTAGTTTGACCTTTTTGAAACGTTTGCCGTTAGTCGTCACTTCCATAATAATCACGACTGGCTGAAATAACCTCTATATCGCACTTCATAATCACTTTACACAGTTGTCTCCTGTCTCGCTACTCGAAAAGCCCCGGCACAATTGATTTACCCAAGTAATTAATGGAGTAAAATCCACCTCGCGAGAGTTTTCAATTCAAATTGTTGGTCAGACACTCAGAGTGTTGTTAGTTAACTTAATTAATCCTTTTAAAAGTATGGGGGTCAAACCTTTCAGTGTTGTCACAACCTGTTAGAAAGAATTTTGAAAAGGAGGTATTATTCCAAAGGAGAAATTTAGAAGAAAAAAGTATGTTACCTGTTGGGCCCTGCAATGAGACTGACTGATTACGCAGAGCTCTGTTCTTCTGTGTGTCTAGGCTGCCTTTTTTATTTTTTCTTTCCCCGCAGGGTTTTTGTCTCTTTTTCACTTCTCACTCTAACTGTCTTCCCCTGCTGACAGAATAAACCAGATTCATAAACATCTGCTTATCAACCCACCTCCTATCTCTCTCCTGTCTCTGCAAACATATCAATTGTGTCAACGTCGGAGCATGGATGCCCTTTCCATCGAAGATGTTCAAAGGGCAACATCCCCTCTGTCTCTCTGAAAACTACGGAAATACAACCGCACATGCACACACAGAAATAAGGCTTAGGTTCTTTTTATTCATATTAGTGATGCATTTTTTAATAGTATTATCCAGTTAGAGTGGAACAGAAGAAATAAGATGGCACTCTATTTTTTTTTATTTTTTGATGGAGGACCCATGATTGTCGAACAGAAATATCAAAGACCTTTTACAAAATCTGGCTTAAAGCTATTCAAACACACAGCATGTTATACACTGCCTGGCCAAAAAAAAAAAAAAA